AGTTTCAATAACTCAAGGGGAACTTACACCGACCTCACTGATTCCTTCTGAATCTGCTGAGAGACTTAGTGGTCAACAGCCCCGGACCACTACCCCCATCCGTTCTATCACATCGAGTCTAGGTGTCACTATTCCCACATTTTCACATTTTTCTAGGACACCTACACTATTCACTGCACATACAGGTGCACTCACCCTGAATGCAACGACCGGAGTGCAAACTATGATGGTCGGAAGCCCTGCTACGCCAACAATGCCTCAATCATTGAACGCAGGCCACACATCAGCTATCTTCACTGATGCTGTGACAACAGTTACAACCCCCGTAACTGGTGCCATTATCCCCGAAGACATTCTCGTATATCTGAACAGCTTTCTAGAGTCTACCATTAAGCCATGGGTGCATGAAGCAATAACCGCTAATGCACAAGACTCTGGAAGTACCCCAGTTGTTCAGAATATACCATCCAAACCCCAGACAACACAGCCCCCAACCATTTCCATACCTGTTTCCAAACCCTTAACTATAGAAAACCAACAACCATCCACATCAAGGGGAACCCAGGATACAGAACTAGTATTCTCCCCTACAACGACCAAACCCAACCTAACAACCATACCCTTCGAGGATCTTGTAGCTGAGATCTACGACCGTATACTAGACGTGGAAGAAGGCAACCTCACCCCTCTTCAAAAAGCCCTTCTCCATGCTCTAGATACACAGAACACATGCCGTGACAGTCTCCGTGGCGCTAAACGTTCACATGAGGATCCTGATGATTCGGATTCTCATGAGGGGGAGAACAAGCGCCAGCGGATACTTGAGCATGTTGCTTCTACTAGCCAACCCTCAAAGCCAAACCAACCCTCTACCTCTACCAATGAGCAACCCACTACTTCAGCTAGCCATAAATCCCTAGCCACTCTCTCTAGCATGGTCGAGCTAGACATAACATCCCGAGGTGCATCTCCTATAGATGTTAACCAAGGACGGAATGGAAGTCCTGATGATGCTACCACGAGTACATCTTCTTATTCAGGCCATCAGTTAGAACCTAGTTCGAAACTGATGTCAACGGGCAATCCTGAGGATCCCGGTGTTTCACTTTTTCAGACAAGGGAGGATTGGCCGCATGTAACGAAGTATAGAGGTCTGGTCTCTGCGCAAGAGCATCGTGTTGAGATAATTGAGGATCCCTGCAAGTCTCACCAGGATCCCGATGCTACGCCAGGCGTGTCGCCACAGCAGCAACAGGCTTCCTCTAGCTACTACAATGATCAAATGCATGATGAACTTGAGGAAATGTTGGTGCATAACAAATGGTCTGAACTCTGGACAGATGTAGATGAAACACAGCGAAGAACATATCTCAGAGATCTCTTAGTCAACTGTGCTACTGACGTGATTCTACTTGATCAAAACGAACTCAAGGAGGGAGAAAACTACGAGACACCACCCAAGGAGCTTGAGTCGATCATTAGACAAACAGCTGCTCAAATGCCCAGAAATGAGAAGCCCTGGGAAAAGATCGACATCAACGCCCCCTTCCAAGAAGAAATCAGAGAAAACATCTGGCGAAAAGAGGATAAGGTCAGAGAACTGGATGAACTGAAGATCTGTGGTCTTAACCATCTACGAGGACAAAACAAGGGTGGACAGCTATTTCTACTCAGTCATCACTATATGGGACAACAGAGAGAAGTCTGGCAGCACGAACTTCAAACTGCCAAAGACCCAGTCTGGGCTGTTCTCAACGTGGGTGAAACAAACTCCCAAGACATCAAACTCTCTGTCTACCATCTGCAACGGTCTGACGGAACAGAATTCACGTGCAAGGAAAATGATCTCTATATGCTAAAAATGGATGACATATATCAGATGTATCTTGCATTTCAAGAAATTCCGGGCACTCGTGACACAACTACACAGAATGGGCTGGATGCACTCAAGCGCTTTATGCTCAGACAAATCAAATTCTTTGCCTCCCATGATCTTCAGATGGCGCTTGAAACAAACATGCCAAAGACAAATCTCACAAAGCCAAAGCTGTATGGACAAGAACTTGAGGACTTCCCTGAGTATTACATTTTTGATAGACCAATCACGATTATCTATCTAAATCATAATGGTGAGAAACGTATGCTATTCATTGATGAAATCAACAAGTACTGTGACGGAACCCTGAAGATTGTGAAAGAAAAGCTGCAACCGATCAGAGAAGCATTCAAAGAAAGACAACAACAGTATGCAGATGCGACAGATGCCGAATTAACGGAAGCACACAGAATAGACAAAATTCTACAGGCTATCCAGAAACAACTTGATAGAAGAAACTCACTCAGAAACTATGAGCACGCACTTAATCTCAGAAAGAACTATTACAAAGCTCAGAAGTGAAGAAACCCAGCAAGACGGCACTTGACCACAAAGGGGGAGATTGTTAGAACTTTTATTGTGGGTCAAGTTTGTCTGTAATGTCTTGTTTAAATAAAGTAGACTAGTTATACCATTTATGGTATTAGATTAGTATTTAGTATTTATTATGTAGCAAATAAGGTAAAGGGAATAAGGCCCAAAAAGGCCTTGGCCCAACTTCCAAGGTTTACCTAAATCGGTAACCTGTACAGCGCCTATAAATACGCGCCTTGTGTACAGGTACCGATATCGATCAATACACATTAGCCTTACGCTGCCAAATTTACTTCTCGATACTACAGAAAGAAGGTTTCACTGTTCTCGATAAATCTTATATCATTATATGAAATACTTCTCTTCTGTCTATCGATGATGTTCATCTAGCTGATCGTTAGTCTGCAAAACTGGGACCAACAATACACCTCCTTTCCTTCACTTTTACAACACCAATTCCTATATACTCTTAAGCTCAGTTTAGAATAACATTTCTCTATATTTCTTTTAGCATGTTTAGTCTCCAAATGAGGAGCTAAACTTCCATTTCTTGGTTTTGCTACTTTGAAGCTTAATGATTTGTAAGTTGTGAGTTACTTTCTTTAATCTTCTCACTTGAATATTAATTACTTCCTATTCTTATCCCATATTAATATATTGAGCATTACTTAAAGTATCAACTAGTCTTGTTCTATATATTAGTTATTACTAGAATCGGTCGGTTAATACGCTTGTTATTAATTCGATCCTTTCACGGTAGTAAACTTGGGTTGTTAATACATGCTTTTCATGGTTAACAAGCCAAGGGGAATTAATTATATTGATTAAACCAATAAACCGCTTGTGTTGAAGTTATCAATCTCAATCGTTTTCATCTTGATTTTATTGCTACTATCAAGTTAATATACGACGCTTGTTCTATATTGACTCGGTAGTAAGTTTTATTAATGAACGCTTCTCGTTATTAATAACTACCCTCGATGAACTGGATATACTCCTCGATTGAGTATTCGAGAGGAAGATAGTTAAAGATATAACCGGGATCGACGAACATTTCATTAAGTGGATAAAAGCAAAGCCAAGTCTTCTTCTCATTAATTAAACCACATAACTCGTTCATCTTCGTGTTCAATTTTTAATTAAATCATTCAATCAAACCCCCCCTTTATTTATTTATAAAAAGAGAAGTATTCCTTTCCCTGCGGATACGAACCTTACTACGCTATACTACGTACAAGTGTTGTATTGAATATTATTTTGAGTGCACATCACGACAAGTGCGCGTCACGATACATTATTAGTCCTTTAAAAATCAGACATATAAGAAGTTGAGTAGTACCTTGTTTGCACCAATTTTGCGGTCCAGTTCACATTTAGTCAATTCTTCTTTGGAATGGAAACAAGATCCACCCTTTTTTCTATTGCTCTTATTTGTTATAAAATGATACTCCCTCCGTCCCAAAAAATTCTTCCTAGTTTGACTTGGATCGGAGTTTAAGAAAGTGGGAATAAAGTGGAAATGTGTGGTTGTAGTTGTGTAAGAAAAAGGTGAAATGAATGTGAGCCACACAAATAATCAAAAAGGTGAAGTTGCAAGAATTTTCTGGGACGTCCCAAAAAGGAAAGTTGGAAGAATTTTCTGGGACGGAGGGAGTACATGACTGATTGTATATTATTAGTAGTAATTAAACCAAAAGCATCCCAATACCGTAATGCCATCACCTATCCTAAAATTCTAGTTGTTATATATACATATATGTTCCTTTTAAATGACTGAAAGATTTACTTCTAACACTACAAAACACGAATTTGACATAGATTGATAGATGATTTCATGCCAAATAGCTCGTACCAAAATGTTTTTGGCACGACTTTGGCATATCCTTGCCAAATCCTCTACGAATTTTGGCGAATCCTTGTCAAAAATCCATATCAATCCCATTTTTTTTTGTAGTGTAAATTAAGATATTCAACTTGAACACTCTCAGGCTATTTCCCTTGTCTACGAGTGCCTACGACAATCACCGGAGTACCGGACTGTTCTTCATCATGCTAAAATTCAGTGTTTATACATTTATGTAATTATTATTATGGAACATGTTTGTGTTCTCAGCATTTCATCCAAAATGTTAATCTGCGCAATTTCGCTCTACTATGTGCCATCACATTTCAATTGGTACATCTTTATCAAAACTTTGAGGAGATTATTATTATCCGACAAATTAGATTTACTTTAAATTTTAGATGTCCGTTACTATTATAGTTATAGTAATTTAGTATAATTACTATTATTATTATTTATAAAAGTCCCATATGTTCTATCCCACAAGTATATTTTAGTTCGTCTAAAATAGTATATGATACTCTATCCCCGCTGCTCCGTTTATTAGTTCGTCTCATATTGACCTTAATTATATTTTAGTTGGCAAATCCTGTTTCTGATCCTTCCAAACTATATTATATTACATATTGACCTTAATTAGTGCTTAGTTATTGACCTTAATTATAAGAATATTACTTAGTGCTTAGTAGGCCCATTATTGGTTTATTATTCTTTAGCTTAGACTTTTTCATTGCAATGTCCTATATGTATGCCTTGGCCACAATAAAGACATGCAAAACTTTCCTTCCTAACAAATACATGTTTCTTTCTGAAGCTCAATCGGTTCCTCCTAGTCATATAATATATGTAAGCATTACAATCCAGGTACGTTTAATTCTTTCTTGGTTCCATCATGTTATGTGAATGATTATATACAAAGTATATATAACCTTAGCTTGTTCAATTTGTACCATTGATTACCAATGAATGGGTACGTAAAAGAAATGATCCGAGAATTCTTAGGATACAATAGATTTAGAAATATTTGTCTCTTGATCATATCGTGGGTAGTTGTTATATCAATTTGGCGATGTAGTAGTTTTGATTTTCAATCATCTCTCATCTGGATCATAAAGATCGAATTGCATAGATGATACGAACCAGATACGTGTGGGTTCAAGCATTAAACAACATCGTACAACATTATTACTTGTGACGCAAATGCCACACATTTAAACTGTTTTGGAATGACTCATGATGAAAATTGCATCGAAGATCACATGGACTGACTGCTACTTTATATAAATAAACAGACATGAACCATTTTGCTTAATTACATCATATTCACAAGTCAAAAATAGTGAGTCTCTATCTTCATCGGAAATGATGGAAACACAATTGTAGAAATAGTTTTTTGTCACAATTATGTAATTTTAATGATGTTCGAACTAAATATTCAAATAATATTTTTAGTTGAAAATGGATTTTAAACTAATTATGTTTTTTGAAATGCTTTGTTAAAAGTTACGGTGATATTTTTTATAATGATGAAATGATTATTAGAATAAAAAATAGGGTGGAAAAACCGAAAATTTATAAATACATCCAATGCTTGCTTCTTTGTTCATATGAAAAACTATAAATACATACAGTTAAACTATATTGGTGCAACGTTGCACCATTTTTTTTTTTTTGAATTTTTTCATGTTTCAAAGAACGTTTTTTTTTTAATTTCAACTTCACCGTACCATACACACAATGACACAAAGGTTAGAAGTAAAACTTATTTTGTAATAAATTTTCAAATTTAGGATAGTTTATTATGCTACCCAACAAAGGTTCAACAATTTAAGATGTACCTCCTCCGTTCCACCGGACTTTGTCAACTTTCCTTTTATATTCATCCAAAAACTTTTGTTTCATCCTAAGAACTTTGTTACATTTGTTTTAAAGCAATGAGTTTGTGATTCTGTTCATTTTTCTCTACTTAGCAAAATCTCTATGACACGGTTTTTACTTGAGTTATGCTAGAGGTACAAAAACTCTTACAAAAAGTCTTACAAAATGGGTATGTGACATCATCATATTATTTAACACATCACATCACCTTTACAACACCTTTACCTCGAAGGTAGTTATAATAACCACATCACTTGTTTGTAAATTTTTTTGTAAGTATGTTTTTACTTCTAGCATTTTTCTTTTTACTTTTCTAATTCCACACCCAATATGTTGGCAAAGTTGAGTTTGACGGAAGTACTAAATTTTATTACAAATTGAGTTTTTGCTTGAAAATTTTGTGAATTTTTAGATGTTTGTATAGGAATATGTGTGGATATAAGTTAACTAAGGGAATCACAGTGTTATTGAGTTTTCAGTCGCTTGAGATACTTTCATTGTTTTTAAGTGTTTTTTCTTTAAATTTTTGAATTTTTATTTAATATATATTTTGATTTCCTCCCGAATTAATTACAGAATTGATAATGTATATACTATTGTTGTGATGGTTAAAGGCACTACTAAATTAAACTCAAGTGTAAGATCAATGGAAGGAGGAACAGTGCTTACCCCAGCTTTGGAAGAAATGAAGCATGTCAAGTCTGGAAGTGGAGACATGCTCACCAAGCCATTCTTAAATGTTTGCAAACTCATCTTGCCTATTCTAGGTTCCCATTCACTCAATCTCTATTCAAGATTTGTACAAGATTTGTAGATCACAACATTATCTGAACTATTGGTGAATTAATTAATTTTTAATTAAGGAAGATAAATCCAACCCCTAATATTATGTCCTATTTCTTCTTCTTATATGCCAGATAAATTAGGAGCTGCCATGACTATGGTGAAATCTGATATAAGTGGAAACATTTCAGTAAGATATATTCTTTACATACCTTTTGCACAACTGAGTATTTAATAGCGTATAACTACTTCCGTTCCACTAACACTGGGACATGAGGAGGTTGTGCGGTTACTATGAAAAGTGATTTATATGATTGATATTGAATTGATAAAGTAAAAATAGTGTAAGAATGATTTAAAACCATATAAACTTTACAAAATACGACAACCTTAATGGATCAAATTGAAAAGAAAAGACGAGACATCTTAGTTAGACAATCTTAATGTACTGCTTGTTGGATCCAGAACACTATAGAACATGTTCTTGATACCACGAGACTACAATTTTTTTTGTCTAATAACCTAAGGCTTTAATTTGATATCATGTGAGAACAATGACTATGCTTATTAAATGGTAACTTTAGATGTCATATATATTGAATGGATAAAAGTTACTAAATATAGAAAACATGTTTTAGATATTAATTACATTATTGATACTCTGTACTATCATACTATGAATATCTATTTAGTTACTTCTTCATTATTTAATGGCAGAGATTGGAATCCAAATATGAAACGAATCCATCAAGATACAATTATTTGTACAGTTTTGTACAGGCAGAAGTTGAAACAAAATCTGCCAAATCATCATCCAGTTGCACCAATGGTCTTCTTTGGCTCACAAGGTTGTTTTTACTAATATACAAGTAGAAAATTCACACAACTTTGCTCTAAAACTGTACAGTAGGGCAGTACATTTCTACCACACTAAATCTGTTTGAAAATTAAAGAAAGAAAAAATGAGGGCAGATGTAAAAATAGTTGCAAACTCTTAATCATTTTTTTTACTTAAAATGTGGTCATGTTAGAATTTTGACCATTCAAACTTTATAGAAGTCAAACCAATAATGTAAAACAACTTTAGTATTCTATTGTATTCCCCGTGTTCCAAACATATCATTAAGATAATTAACCATGTTTAATTTTCTGGTTGTTAGGGCAATGGATTTCATAGTGGAACTTATACGTAACTTAGCTGAGCATCAGGACTGGTCAATGTCACAAGCGTGCAGTGATTCATATGCAAAAACTTTGAAAAGCTGGCACGGATGGCTTGCTAGTTCTAGCTTTACAGTATGTATTACAGTAGTTCTTAATCATACTTATCCGATCCCACACGGACTACATATATAATAGGACTGTCTAACACGGTTTTGATATCATTAAATTTTAAATATGACAATATTTTCCAAGTTTGATAGTACTAACTTTCATTTAGGAATCAAAACATGACAATTCTATTTTGGATTTACATAACGTTTTTACTTTTATTTTGGATTTCCTCAAAATAAGATTTATTTAATTAGTTCTATTACGGAGTACAAGAATAGAACATAAGAACTTTTCAAAATAGGAGCGAATGATGTTGGGATTGAAACACACACACTATACGAAAAACAACGATAAGAAAAACACAAGAGTTTGGTTACCAGTTCGCCAAGAATGACTACGTCTGGGAGCGCTACCAAGCCATGATGTTACTATTATTTTCTGATGAGAATTACAATGAGAGAGCGGATATTTAAAGAGAGTGAAACCCTAATCCCAATAATAAACTCGCGGCCCATATATAATACCGCCCCCGGACCCCCTCCTTCGGATCAGGGGCTACTGTCCCCGAACCGGCGAGTTGGATCGGCGAAGTGAGCTTGATTATACAGTCTCTACACCTTACAAATGACTCATATTTTGGAAGAAAATAATGACACTTCTGTTTGAAGAAATGCACTTCTCCTTTTGTCCCATAATTATCTTCATTCTTTTTACTTTGGTCTATTCCAAAACAATGTTCAATTTCTTTGTATGACAAAAAAACATTACGGTACATAACATTTGTTTCTCCCCTATATCACACTTAAAAGTAGTAGTAAATTAAAATTTTCTCGTGAGTTCATGATACAATTTAGGCTTGCGTTGTGGTTGTGAAACTGACTCATATGACACTTATTAAGTTATATTGTTGCTAGATCGCACTAGAAATTTAAATTTAAACCGTTAGCTAGTTTAATCATTCTAAAATGATAACGAAAAGTTCAATTATTCTAAATTCTCATCTTTCTTTCTTTATTTTTCTGGTGTTAGAGTAACAGTTCTTATATAATTATATGCATGATATATCAATTAATCATGTTCTAATTACATGATATGAAATATAAAAGGTTGCAATTAAGCTTGCTCCAGATAGGAAGAAGTTCATGGAGGTAATAGTTGGAGCTGGGAATAGCTATGAGGAGATGGAGGCTTTCTACACAACATTTTCACCTATTCTTCAAGAGATTCACAAATTTCTGGTACGATCATTATAATTTTAATCAAACAATAATCATTCTCGCAGTTCAATTATCTGTTAGAATTAAATGCAATTTTCAATCAATTAGAGTTTGTTTTGTAACATTCAAATTGGATGAATCGATTGATTCTGCCGAAATTTATGAAGTTCTGACGGAAGTGATCGATTTTGCAGATTTATGAAAAAATTATATTCAAATTATATTTTATTAGTAAAATAAAGAAAAAAAATATGAAAATAAAAAAATGATCATCTACCAACTTCAACCTATTTAATTAGTCACAATTTATACGTAACTTCAACCTTAGTTATTTTGATTATTAAAAAGTTCAGCGGGTAAAATTAAAAATTATGTGTTTGTTAAAAAGTTAACTAATAAAATTAATAATTCGAAATTGATTTCAATAAATAATTCTGCCAATCGGAAGTTATATTTCTTTATTTGTTATGCTGAATTTTTTATGCGTGCAGAGAAGTGTTGGCTTGGACAATATGAAAGCTTCGTGATGTCATACACCAAACTTTAATGCATCGTGTTCCTGTCATCTAATTAATTTCTGTATGTATATCTTCTGGACAGTTAATATTATGTTAACTACATAATTAATGTGACATTATATTATCAACCATGCTGATATTTGTATCAGCACTCGACTAAAGCCATAGCAATATAAAAACAGTGTACTTCATTTAAAGTATGTCAAGTTGACAATCACTTTTTTAGGCAGATTTTGTAGGAAGTGCATTTATTGAACAAAAAGTTGTACCCGCTTTTACGCTATTTATAATGTATATTGATGATTGGTATTGATGATCAATGTGTTGCATATTATTCTATGATGAAATAAATTGAAAAATTGCATATTAACGTTCAAAATGTTGCATCTGAAAAAAATCAATTTAATTTATAAACAAAATACTATCATGTGTTTCCAGCTTTTAAATCAATACAACGGATGGTGAAGATTACATTTGTAACGTAGTTGTTAAATTTAGAGGAGTTTATATTTGACCCCTTATCATTTTTTTTTTGTATTATAGGGATGCTTGTTTCTTCAAGTATATTGGTACAAATATCAACGTAACACTCCATTGATATATTTCCAATACAATGAAATACATAGATTTACCATTTTCATACATCGTTTTGATCAAAACGCTGGTTCCAAACAACAAAAATGGAACATTATCAACGTACGTAAGTCAAACTTTAACGAATCATTCAAGAAAAAGCGGAGAATTAGATAAATGGAGTCACTACAAATATGAAAATCATTTCAAAAGCAAACAAGTTAATTTAATTTGAGTACAGTGGTCGGTCGTCCCTTCTTTCTAAAACCTCAATTCCCACAAACGGCAACAAAAATCCCTTTGGATCTGTTGGGATTTTACAAGTCGATATGTTTGGTGATCACATTACTACCAAAGTACCAATTGTAATGTGCCAGTTATTATAACTTTATGACTTGACTAGTAATAATAGAAATAATTTAGCAAAAGCAAACATTATGAGAGGTTTATGCTCACATATCGATCATAGGAGTAAATATAGACGGATATTCACAAATATGGTCATGGGGGATTTCATGGTGTTTAATACTCCATGGAATACAAGAATAAAGAGAAAGTTTGACTGATAATGTGAGATCTGAAGGAGATGATGATGTATTTGTCCCTACTAATATGATAATCAAGAATAAATGCTAGGAAAGTAATCCAAAATCTAAATACAAGAACACCATAAAATATGGAAAGGCGTTTGTTTTTTTTGAAAAAAAAAATGTTAAATAACGAAGGGAAACATAACACATTCAATTCGTGTCTAATTTGTTCCACAAATTATTCAAATATATAAACGTTGTCAGAGGTGGATTCAGAAATTTGAATTAGGCTAAGCTGAATTGTGAATTAATTTCACTTTTGGTCCTACGAGTTTTATGTCAATTCCACCTTTAGTCCACGTCTTTCGCTTTGTCCACTTTTGGTCCTTGACTATTGTTTTTAACCGTTTTTTATCCTTTTCCGATGATTTTAACCATCGGACACAATGCCAGAAGGACCAAATATGGGTGGAAATACTATAGTCATGTATGAAAAGTGGACAAAATGAAAGACGTAGACTAAATGTGAAATTCACCTAAAACTCGCAGAACCAAAACTGGAATTTATTCAGATTTAAACATTAGAAGGATGAACTAAATATGAAAATGTAAAAAAGTACACTAAAAAATTGAACAAAGAATTAAATTGCCTTAAGTTTCATGACTTTCATCACTGTATAGTTCACACGTAGATCTCCCCCGAATGTTAGTCCTCAAAGAAATCAGCCCGCATTTTGTTGACGTACTAATCTTGAGCAGTTGAGTGGCGGTCGAATGCAACGAACGTGATTATAATTAAGGGCCTTCCTTGGTCGGTCGTGGATCTACATATAAGTCTAATGTTTTTATTATCATTCATACTAGTAATAAGTCTTTACACGGATAAATGAGATCCACCTAATTCTCAGAATTAAGCCAATGGGAACTCTTAGCTTAGATATGATCGTAACTCTATGAAAAATAAAATAAGATTTTCATACAAGAGATTTCCACAGATTTCACGAACCACCCAAAAGATTATGTGCAACAAAAAATATCGCAAAATTGTTGAATTGCGATTTAGACACCCAAATGTGTGGTGAATTGTTCATCCGACATGCTAATTAGTCCAATTTGTAAAATGCAAAAATCGTGTAGAATGCATGCATATGCGGTCCATATATTATGTATGTACTGTATATTAATAAATTAGAGTATATTATAGATACGTTTGTCGACAATGACCTTGGGTACGTTGATAGGAGTGATGTACTACTTTCTGACTAGGATTACTAGCTAAAGAATAACCGGATTGAATAACATGGTTGGAGCCAAAAATAATACGGAGTATAGAGTAAAAACTAATTAATACTCTTTTTGTCCGTTTTTATTTAGCCAAATTCCACATTTGAAATAAAAGATACTGAACTTTGACTGATTACATATTTAAAAATGGTAATATTGGTAATATGTAAATGATATGAAAATGTTTTTTATTAAAAATAATACTATAAAAGCGTAAATTCATTAAGTTTCTCATAATTATATACGTAGTAGTATATTAGTTAAAATAATGGTTCAAAGTTTACATACGGATTTCGTCCCTTAAAACTTGATCATGTTTGACTGACACGTGGATTAATAAAATAAAAACTGTGTGATCGAGGTTTGTGCAGAAGAGAGAATTAACTGGAACAACAAATTATTTATTTAAAAGAGAAAGTGAAAATTTTAGTAGAATAATTTAAAAAAGAAAGTTTTCTACATTTTAAAGGACGAAGGGAATGCTTAGTTGGAAAAGTTAAATATTTAAACAAAAAGGGACGTCAGAGGTGGTACTAGACTACTAGTTATTAAAAATTGAAAAGTTGGGGCTTAGATCCCTTGGCTTTGGTTGTACCTTCGTCACTGTACGTAGAAGACGCCCGACCTTCGCAACCGTTGGAGTGCCGCAACCACATCACCATCGTGTCGAGGTCACCAACGTACACAGTCATATATACCGTCATACGGCCGATCATATATGTCTTCTTCTTCTTCTTCTACTACTTCTTCCTCTTCTTGCTGAGGTGAGGGTGGCGACTATGAGATTTTGAGATGATAGCAATGAGTACGTTTCTTGTGAATGGGCGGTGCGGAAGTACTAAACAAGTGTGGTGAAGACTCACATAATTTTTTGCCAAATTATAATACTTCTAAAACTTATTTCCCAAACTAGAGTATTTTGAAACTTAATTATTTCCCAAACTATGTTACTTTTCCATGTCACCCAACCTATCACATGCCATCTATGCCACATCATTCACTAGCCAGTACTGGCTAGTGAATAACTAGTAGTCTAGTACTAGTAGTCTAGTACCACCTCTGACTAGTCATTCCATTGTTATCAAATTTCGGTGTGTTTTTCGTAGTATAAAAAACATGCCACTAGTGAGAGTTAAACCCACAGCCTTTCAAATTTGTAGTAGGGCAAGAAACCGCTGCCCTGCAATGCTCATTTGTTACATACGCTCATTTAAATATATTTAACATACATAGATTTTAAGTCATTGGATATACTAGTTTAACTCGTGTATTACTTTGAAATTTTAAGAAATAATATTGCTTTCTCAAATAATTAAAAAATATGTTAAAACTTTAATTTTAGATATTAAATTAAAAAATAAAAGCCCAATTAAAAATTATGACAAAAAATTTAATTGGAGATAAGTAATTAAAAATTAATTTCTAATAACTCAACACTAAGATTACAAAAAATAGTATATTCTTAACTTAAAATAAGGTTAAAAGTTTATCTAAGAAAAGTTCTTTACGGAGTATATTGTTTCAATTGAGCTCGGGCTCAGCTCGAGTAAGGTTTGACTTCGGTTCAAATTTCATAAATTAGTTTTTATAAATTGGTATGAAAAATTTGTTGGTCTATTGTTTGCTGATATGAGCTTGTACTTTAAGACTGAATGATTGTACCCTTTGTTCCACAAGCCCGATGGATCCCATCACTCTAATTTAATCCGCATCCTGCAGGTTATACTCCTGAAAATCCCGTCGGCTTCCATTAAATGATTACGTTGCTAACAAACATAAACGTATTCCTTCAAAAAAAAGGAAGAAAGCTCAAAAATGACATTAAGGTTATTGGAGAAACTCATATTGACAACTTTGAAATAGACCAACATTTCAATTTTTAGTGGACATTCCAGAGTGGAGTGAGGCTGGGATATCAACTTGGGTAGCATTAATAGCTTTTTCCAAGTACTGGATGAGTGGATGTCGATGCCCTTGTTCTTTTGGGCTCCGGGAAGCAAAAATTTTTAGATGAAAGGAGCTATGGGTGGAGAAGGTTGACTGGTTGAGACCGAAGGTTGAAGAAGAAAGGGTGAGCGGACCTAGGGGTGGAAATAGGCCAGCCGGCCTGTCAGGGGCCTGTGGCCTGGCCTGTTAAAAGCCTGGCCTGGCCTGGCCTGTTTAGTAATCAAGCCAGGCTTGGGCTTTTTAAAAAGCCCGTTTATTTAAAAAGGCCAGGCCTAGCCTAATTCTGAAGCCTTTTTACCTTAACAGGCCGGCCTATTTATATATGTGTATATATATATGTATATATATCTAGTTATATTCATATTTATTTGTATTATTTATATTTATATTGTATTTATATTGGTATACTCAACTATAGCAAAATCGGTATAATAGTATTTTTAGGGAGTGTGTATTATAAATTAGAATATAATACTATTTTAAATATACATAAAGTGTGTTAATAGTTTATTAAGGTAATTGAAATTCAAAGTTTTTCAAGATTTAAAGTATATAGAAATTTATAAACTACATAATAATACTCCATAATAATGTATTATTAGATATCTAAAGCAAAACTAACGTATTATTATACTTTTTAGTGAAAATTTAGGGAAATAAATTTTATAGCGGATTAAAAGGATTTTACACTTTTCATTTTTAATTTTTTTGAAATTTTGATTTTTTTTCTTAACAGCCCCGGTAAACAGGCTTCAGGCCAGGCCAGACTTTTGAACAGGCCAGGCCCAGGCCGAAAAAACAGGCCTTTAACAGGTAACAGGCCAGGCTCAGGCCTATATATTCTAAAACAGGCCCGGCCTGTTTAGGCGAAAGCCTGGCCTGGCCTGGCCTGTTTCCACCCCTAAGCGGACCCCTTGGAGGGCTCGATGGGGAC